TTCAAGCCATGCCCTCTGTTTTGGTCTTTAAAGAATACCTAAGAGAACCACAATTTTTCTCTCCGTAGTTTAACCCTCCTTCCCCTCGTTTGTCACTGTGCCTCCCTGATGACAGCAGGCTCACTGCTCTGCTTTTTGCTTCAACTGTGATACACTACACATAAAGTGTACATTTCACCACCACGTACTTGATGTCATGTTAATGCCTGAGTCGAGTCCGGACAGTCTTTACAAAGTCACATAGGTGTCAAAATTGCAATCTCTTTAGTATTTTTCCGTGTAGGATTAAACTGAAGGGAGGAACTGGGAGAGTCAGGGCTGCCTGCAGGGATTCATGAGAGCTCACAGGGCCCAGTGTTGATATACTGATCTGTCATCTCTCTCTGTCTTGTTATGTTCTGTCTGCCCAATAGGGGTTGTGACATCCCCCCTGCCTAATGCGCATTTAATGTCTCGTCAACCCTGTCAACACGCAGTTAGGATGAAATTTGCTCTGCCTTTTTGCTGGACGTGCTGTTTTGCTTTGAGAACAGTGGAGCCGTGGGTGTGCGCTCTGTCTGTCTGTATCTTTGTACCCCACATCCATCCCGTTTCTTCATTCTATCACCCCTATTCTCCTTTGGTTTGCGTTTTTTTTTTCTCCCCAGTTCTTTGTTATAGCTTGTCCCATCGCTTCTAAGGGTGTCTGTCTTGTGACACAAGCGCACCGCAGAGAAAGAGTGTGTATGTCTGTGTTCGTGAGTATCCGTGTGTTTCACCCAGCGTCATCTTATTACATCGTAATCAGAATACTAGCACCCAACAGCAGGGAGCAAATCACATTAAGATAATTGGGAAACACTTCATGCTGGACAGCTGGGGTTTGTGTAGAATTGATTAAATAAATTTGATGTCACAGAAAAATACAGCTATCCTAGGCCTGCATCTGTGTGAGTGGGCGAGTCTCTCCCTGTGTACATGTGCATACAGACACATGAAGATTTTTGAAAAAGATTCTAGGCCTCCAACTTTAAAAAAAAGTAAATAAAGAGAAATCAAAGCACAACAAAGGGAAAATTTCATGCACTCCCATTGGGAGAATCTAAAACTGGTAAACAAGCAGATAACATTTTTTTAATAAAACCTTCAATACTTAAAACGGCCACCAGATGACACTGTTAACTCTTTGTTATTTTTTTTACTCTTTCTGACAAACTTTGTACTTGAAAAAAATCCGACATAGCATTAAAGTGTCATTTTACCACAGTTCGATCAGCATCTAAATTAACTTCAAAGCTAAAAATAATAATTTATTTAAGACGAATTATTGTAAAAATTATTCAATAACTAAGATCTGTTTAGTCATCAAACTGTTTTCAGGGAAAAAAAAAAAAAAAGTAAATGTAGAACTTGTTTCTAAACAGCTGAAAGTTCTCCACCAGTCACTCTATTTCTGTTTAACAGAGGACTTATGGGCTTAAACCAAAATTATGCAAATGAGCAGCAAGTAATCAAAAGTTCAAACTGAATTGTTCAAGAGTTCACTGAACTGGAATAAAAAGACGTAGAAGAAATTACTTGAGTTTGTCATCACTGTGGCAAATTAGGCAAGCACAGACTAAATGGATCACAAAGGATGTGCACATTACATGGTTGTGTGTTGGAAGGATGCTTGAGTGTGTGTATATTTCTTGTGTACGTTTCTCTGCATTCATGCGAGCGTGCGATAATTTATCCCTACACACATACGGTGGTATATGTTTCTGCCTCTGCGCAGAAATGAGAGACTTAGATACACAACATTGCTTCCATCTTTTTAATGGCGTACATTCTACTCCTCCCTGTGTTGTCATGGTGATGTGTCCCTTCCCAACCTTTTTTTAGATAGGTATGTGGGGTTTGTTTCTGCTTCAATATATGACACACATGCAGCAGAGCAACCACTGAAGATACAACATATTACAAACTGAAAGACAATCTGGACAGGATGGGCAAGGGTGGACCGTAATCCCAAATATATTTAGTTTATCTTCATAAGGACATGTTAAGTTTACACTCACCAGCTGCTTTATTACATACACCTCATCAAATTGTTTTACATAAATATTGAATAAACCAATCATAAGGAAGGAAACTGCTGATCTATTGAGATTTCCCACACCTAATCAACTCTCGGTTTACTGAAGAATCAAGTGTGTGGCAGTTGGGTGGACCATGCCATCTCGTTAATGTCAGAGATAATTTAAAAAATTAGTTCAAAATGACAGAAATGCCATAGCAGCTCTCAAACAACCACTTGTTACAAACGAGGTACTTTTCACACCATCTCTGAATGAATGACAGATTAAGCAATTGGCTATAGATACAGAGTTCCACACTGAGTGCCAACCCTGTCAACTAAGAACAGGACGCCAAGGCTACAAATCACACCAGTTCACCTAAATTCGCAGGTCGGGGGAAAAAAAATAGTGAGTCTTGATTTTAGCTGCAAAATTCAGTCAATCAAAAGAAGGATCCATTGTGCCTTGTAACAGTTCCAGATTTTGGTAGTAATGGAAATTTTCTCATCATGCTTTAGAGTCCTTGGTTCAAGTTGAACCTTAGTGTCCACCCACTTATGGCAACAGAATGGATTACCATGTCCAGAAAAAGAATGTACCATGTGACAATGTGCCATTGCACCAACTCAGACTGTTATTTTAAAGACACAATAATAGGTTTTTTGCACATCAGTGTAACCCCACAGTCAGCTGGTCCCAGTCCATTAGAGTGTCTTTGAGATGCGGTGGATGGGGAGATTTAAGGATGTGGAGCTGACAAATCTGCTGCAGTTGTATGATGCTGTGAAGTCAAAGCAAACAAATTAGAAATGTTTCCAATATCATCTTCAGCTTGTGCCATAATAAATGAGAAAGTTCTGCTGACAAAAGAGGTCCAACCTACATAAGAAAGTACATAAGAAAGTGACTAGAGTCTATATTCTTATGCTGATGCCAAATGTAAAGGCATCACAAAGCATTTTACATTTTACCTAACACTTATTTTGAAGTTAATTTGAGATATTCTGGTTTCTTTTACATTTCGTTTATTTATGTAAACTGTCCTACATCATACGTCCTAATGCTCCACCACCTAAGTTGCAATCTAACTGAATAAAATGCAGGGGTTGATATGTGCTGAATCGATTAGGAGGAGATGTGAGGACTTGGTCGCTGAGAGGGCTTTAAACACCCAACTGATCTTATTTAGATTTAGTCAAGGAGAAGAGACGGGCAAAAGCAGAATTGTGGATAGACAGGCTTGGCTGTCTTATCTGGAGCCTGTGGTCACATCCACTTTTCACACCTTCTGTTCTATCTTGTGCTCACACAGACAGATAAACACACACGCAAACACACACACACGCAGACACACACACATAAAATTTAGGACATTGGATCTAATATGAATAGTCGCAAAAATGATTAATTACCATGTGTATTGAAAGTAATTTCACTGAATTAATAGATGTGCTGGTTGTTTAGGGTGCTTTGCACAACACTGATGCAGACAATGGCAAATTTATTTTGCATGTGCAAAATTTAACACACCTGTAACAACTCTATTATCTCCATCTGTAGCCTGTTTCCTGTTTCCAATTCCCTGTTGTGTCTTGTTGCTGAATAAAGGCTTTGTTCCATACAAATACACACAGCCACATTGAGCAAAAAACCCCTTTGCACTTTGTCTGAATGAGTAGTTTCCAATTACATTTCAACAGGAAGCAAATTAGAGAGAGGAGTCTGCTGCTGATGAGAAGTGTGTGTCTGTATGCCAGGTGCAGTTGAGAGCTTGTTTTGCATATCAGAGAAGTGTGATTATGAGTAGAGCCATGCATACTCTGCATTAGTGGACATAATGACCAAATGAGGGGTGACTAAATGAGAGGTTAGCACACAGAGAAACAGACACACACACACACACACAAACAGCACATACAAACACAATTAAAGTAAATGAACTCGCAAAAAATACTGTTACTGTACACATGGAGTGCGCGGTCATCAGAAACGGAGAAGAGCGTGTAAGTGGAAGCGACGGCGATGGATGCACATCTCCATAAAACCTGTTCTACCTTTGGAACCCCGTTTGCATATTCAGAGTTGCTGACTGAAGTCTTGCCACATCGTTAGCAAATGAAAAGTAGTTTAGAATGAGAATGAGTTTAGGGGTCACAGGACGAGAGATTGCGGAGACAAAACTGATTCCACTCAGCCTGTAATTGGCAGAGAAGAAGAAAGAGGGTAAGGCATGATGAGGCAAAAAAGAAATACTTATTTAATTTGCTTAGTAAGGACTACATTTTACAGAGCTGTCAGTATCTTGATCTACCTGTTATTTGAACAACACCTGCCTGCATAATAAATGCATTGTTTCTGGACCTAGGCATCTGATATTGAAATTAGACCTGGCTTTGGTTAGCTTTCAGGTTCAGAAAGACATTTGGATCAAAAGGGGTTCCACACTCTCATCTGACACAATTTCTCACCACAGTTGCATCTTTGTAGTGTTATTTAGCTATATTTAATAATTTTTTTGCTTGTCTTAGGGGTGATTTAAAATTAGAATAGAGTAAACTGAAAGACATGTTTTGGTTTTCTTTGAAGTTCCCCAAATTATTTCTGGATTGATTAATTATTATTAGAAAATGTATTGCCATATTCAGTTTTTTATTGCTATTAGTTTTGTTCATTCATTCATTTGCAGATTGTTTATTCTTGTTCTTTGTGCACTTGGCTGTAATTCTCTTGCAATAACTCTTAGTCTTTTCCCGCTTGGTTTCTACTTTCTTTGGGTGTAGTCCAGCTTTGTTTGTGTTAATTATTAATCTTCCCTTAATCTCCCTGCTTGTTCTGTTCCACAGCTGTTCCTAATTCCCTGATTACCTCACCTGGATTCAATGTCATGCTCTGCTCTTCTGTCAAGAGTGGGGATATGAAAAGATCACTAGCTTTCATTGTTCTTTACTGGTTCATCTGCTAAATGCAGCTCATCTTGGTCCAGATTTTTTTTGTTGTTGTTTTATCATCTTCAGTTATTTTCTCTGGATTGTGGACCTTCTACTTTATTTTAGTAAGTTGCATTTTGTTTTATTAAACTATTTTTTTTGCTCCACTTCTGATGCCCTTTGTCTGCATATGGATTATCCACAACCAACCATATTTTGTGACTGATAACTGAGTAAGTACCACTTTACTGCTCATTTTTAGTACACATAATATCTGTTGAGGTTGACTTATCTGTTTATGAACAGATTCCTTTTGCCAACAGACAAATGGCAGTTAATATCACAAGTTAGATATATTAAAGTCATATATGCCGATGTATCATTAATGTAACTATCAGAAATTGAGTTTCTGAAAGAAGCGTCAAATTGTTTTATTATTTATCTGTGTAACACAAACAGATTATAACCTCTTCAAAATCTTGGTGTACCGCAATTTAAAGTGTAAGCTTTCAGTGTTGTCACAGTTGACTTGCTGCCAAGAAATCAATTTACAAGGAACAAGAAGGAAGTGTAAAACTGATTACTTTGGGAGCAACGGTGATAGGAGTTTATCCTGTAATAGGTGAGTTGCCGGTTCGATCCCTCACTCTTTCTCTTTTGTTTTGTCCAGACACTTTACTCGGCTTGATGGTCAGACAGTCCAGTGGTGCCAGTGCATGGCAGCCTTACCTCTTTCAGAATGTCTCAGGGCAGCTGTGGCTACAATCCAATAGTTTGCCACCATCTGGTCACCCCTGGCTACAATCTGTTTGTTTCTTATCCTAATAAAAATACTAATAAAAGAACTTTTGAATATGTTGTAAGCTAAATTGACCAATTCATGAATATGCAGTAAACATTATTGCTGCATATAAAATCTAAAGGCGACATGAAAGCATACTCAAGTGCTGTCATTTAATCCTGATTGTGTTCTAATAGCTTCATGTACTTAACATTTCCTGTCCATATAGTTTCCACTATACATCTGTTTCTTTTGGTAGTTAAATGTTCTAGCAAATTATGAAGATAAATACTTTTAAAGTCCTTAAAATATTCCTAAAGGCTGTAATTTACAGATTATTTCCATTTATTGTAGTTCTAACAGTAGCAAAATCCCAATATCAGAAATACAGTATCATCTTATACAGTAGACACTGACAACATGACACACAATTATTGTAAATCAACTGTCAAAGGGTTTAAAAATTATTCTATAGTGTAAATTGATCTATGAATAGGCAAATGGGAGGCACCATTTCACACACAAAAGTTCAGAAAATAATTTTCCAATATAATAATGAATTTAATTTCCTGGAACAATTATTAATTACAAGAAGTAAGGCATCCTACATGTTTTTTTTTGTTTGTTTGTTTCTTAACTTGAAAAACAAACATTGTACAGTAAAATGTGTATACAAGGGAAAAAAATCAAAATCTCTATTTACTGGACCTGATTTATATAGCAAATCTACAGTGACTAAATATTTATTATGTCAAGACATTTGACCAAACATTTAAAAATAAGTTTAATACATGCCATCAGATGTCTTTGGGTCAAATCAAAGAGGGAATGGAAAACAATCTCCTTCCTAGTTCAGGTTGGAGGACTTGATGGACAGAACAGTCACAAGAGCAATCAGTAATCAAGATCAACACCAGTCCGAACCAATTTACACAGCCTTAGTAGACCTGACATGCTCCGCTGCTCACCCCTCACTCTTTCTCCCTGCATTGCTTTTTTTTTGTCTTTTTTCTGTCCTCCTTTCTCACTCTGCCTTTTTTTTTTTTTTTTATGTAATCTCTCTTGGCCGGGTTTTTCCATGAAGCGCAAAGTCATTAAGTGAGAGGCGACTTTGCAGTGATGGTTCAGCCTGAGAGAACACCGTCTCTCACCGAGGCTGCACACGGATTAGCTTATTACAGGTCAAACACTTTCCCTCGCAGCAAAAGCAGAGAACAAATCTAAAGGGCAGTCAGGTAAAGTTCTCAATAAGACAATAATTCTACAAGTGTAAATTCAAGATGAAGTGAACCAGGTGAAAACACAAAAGCTTTGTAAAACTTACCAGGAATGGTTTATTAATTGCATATGAGAGACCAACAAGCGACAACAGCTGACGCCTGAAGTTCAGTGTTGTGTGCCTGTCTCGGTGTGTGGAGGGCGGCTCATTAAACCCACTGGACACATGGTGGCCTGGCCAACACTCTGAATTCTCTTTTGCTTTCAATCCACAAATTTCTAAAAATCCCCCGCCAGCCCCTCAGCTCTTGATTGGTTGATGCATGTGAAATTTTAAAAGTATTTTGCAAAATCATGTTCTACCACTCTGCTCCAAAGGGTAGTTTTAATACTGAGATGGAGCAGCAGGGAGAAACACCACATCACTTTGCTTTTTCTGCATGTTTGTGTGGTGGAGTGTCTTAGGAGTTTTTCAATGCAGCGAAAGAGAAAGTCCCCATGTCCTGTGCAGCACACAATTGGAGGCGTCTGAAGCCTCTAAAGACAACATGCTACTAGTATGGAGTTTGTTCACACTAACAAATCCACTACGGATTAAAATTGTTACCCACCTTCTTTGTCCAGTTATCCAGTTGGTGGTGAGTATATGTACACTTCTGATCTCCATTATAAACACACAGAAACTGCCGTTAGTTTAAGTAGAACACAATGTAAAAGCACAAATATTCCAACCCACCAGGACTGCAAATTAAACTAAATGTAAACAAGCGTCCCAAATGTTCTTCCTACATGCAGTGAAATAAAGTTCAAACAAACTTTTAAAAATCTGTTACTTGCCTGGACAGGCTAATCTTTGACAGAGAAAATCTGTCTCGTCTCACATCTTCTGGAGTTATCATCAAGAATGATGTGAATATTTATGAGCCGAGAAGAATGAGACACAGTCACATCTAAAATATGAATTTCCTAATCAGAGCTAATAAATATTTGACTTGTGCGGGCTATTGTGCAGATTAATAGATATTCTGGAATAAATTCTTAATGTGAAACAGCCTATACAGGACAGTGCCCCTTTTGGGTTCGAGCCATTTTTGTCACTTAGTCTTGACAATGTCATTTCGGAGTTTCCCTATTTCTGTCCAATAAGGTGGTGGGAGGGGGGGGGACAGGATGTCACTTTCTACCCTATAAAATCCACAATTTTAATTACATTTTACCACAAACATGTTTGAGATTTTTACTGTGGAATATTTTTTTTTTATTTAGATTTATTCATACAAATTTCTTCCTACTGTGATCATGTCTATCCCTTATTTTTCTTCTCTCATTTATGCTGGCCTAGTACTCTACTTTTGACAATACATTGTTCCTTCAATTTTGTCAAGACTTTAACATCTTACTGCCCTCTGCTCACAAGAAAAAAGGAAACAAGAGATCATCCATTTTTCGCCTGTGTGTATTGGATTTAGATGTTAAAGTCTTTAAGCCTTTCTAACAGCCACTCATAAAATAGTGGATGAAATGAACCTTTTAAGACATAATTGGTTCCACTTGGCTCTTGACTTAAGCATTTTGAATTGTTTTCATTTGCAGTGCATTGTTCCCAAATAGTCAGTAGCTTCTCAACATCTGAGTTATGTGTTTGTCATTGCAATATGTAATCACATGCCCCTTTTTTATTTTTATTTTATGAAGCTAATACACTCAATCATATTAGAAAAAAAACACTTTTAAGCAGTTTTAAAACACACACACAGAATATATAATGAATTTCATACATTCAGCTCCAAAGTTCAGAAGCACTCATTAATGTTTTCGAAGGTAGACAATAGGATGTACGTATAACATGTCAGGATTTTTTTTCAGCTTATTCCAGTAATTGGGACAAATTAGGGACATGAAGCCGGATTAAGAACTGACCACAGCAGGTTTAGACCTTTGGGGTAACTGTGGTGCTGAACTTGCCAGAGCATAACTTCAGCACCACCAGCTGCTGGAAATGTTGAGTTATGAGAAAAGCTAAGAGGGACTTACCTATGATTGTTTTATAAATAAACTAACACCAGTGCAATTGAGCATTGCTTAAATGCCAGGTAGAACACAAAGCTCAAACAATTTATCATTGCAATGAGTTATCCATTCTATTTATAACAAATGTCTATCGTTTCTTTATATTTTTCCTTCCCTGTAAAGTCTTTTCATTCATATTTTTATACCATCTGTCACATTGCTGCTTGTACACCTGAATTACACCACCAAGGAAGTCTATTCTAATCTATGATGTGGTGAATATGAGCTCTGCATCCCAATCAATAGATAGTGTAGGTGACTGTATGAATGCTCTGTTGCAAAGACTTCCATTTAATACAGTGGAAGATTGCCCAAATACTAAGACTAAACAGGCTTGAGATTAATCAGTGACAGAAATAAAATATTTTTTAAACTGAAAATCGACAGCAAAAACAAAATCAGGGAAAAGGAATTTGAATAAAAAATAAAAAAAGAATTGAGCTGAGGATAAAACCAACAGAAAACAAGACTGTACATCAAAAGAGAGTCTGGCAGAAATTATGAAAGAAATTATTATTAGCATTATGTGATGTG